GAGGAGAGAGGGAGAGGGAGAGAGGGAGAGAGAGGGAGAGAGCGTGAGACCGAGAAGATCTACAGAAAAAGCTAGAGTTTTCTAATTGTATTTTCAACGCAGTATGAGCAGTTGCATTGCGGAAGCTCGGTATATTTGGATCGAGTACCAGGGTGTGTCTGCGTAGTATGCGGGTGGAATGGGTCCCCCAGATTTGACGACTTTTTTGGCCTCTCTTCCCCCCAAGACTCCTCGTAAAGGCCGGAATGGCCGGAGGAGAAGAAGCCGCAGAGGACAGCTGCCCATATGGGCACCGCCTAACTTGATAATGCTCGAAAAAATAGTTTTAGATTAAGTTATTGCATTTTCAAACATTTTAATTCCTAATTATTTTACTTCTGGTGCCAAATTTCATCTGGATCAGCCAGTTAACGGAAAACCGAAAAACTCAAAAAAACTTGCCAAGCAGTCGCGTCGGTGCCGACATTGTGGATGAGCTGAAATGTATGAATAATATTAATTTTTACAAGACTTTTTAATCCCATGGTTTCCCAGTCCCTTTAAAGGGCCATTGAAGGCAAAATCCAGCATCTACCTTCGATGGCCGGTGGCCTCGCTCCGTTCGCTAATCGACGGCATTCTGGGGAACATTTTTGGGATCACAGGGATATCCTTGTTTAGGGGAATTTAGGGTGTAGCGTAGCGGAATGTTTCGTAGCGCAACGAATCGTATTGAAACTTAGCTTGGGCAATGTGGCGCAACGTATCGTAACGTAGCGTAGCTTATCGTAACAACGTATTATAGCGTATGGTCCTGGAGCGTACCGTAACGTATCGCAACGCAGCTCTGCCTGCCACTTATTGTAATTCAGCGCTAACTAGCGTTTCGTAGCGCACTGTAGCGCAGCGTATTCCAATAGCTACGTATTACAACGTAGTGTAGCGTTGCGTAACGTACACAACGTAGCGGCTCGGAATGTAGCGTAGCGAATCGTCGTGTATCGTTTTGATACCCTAACGTTAATTTGCGTAACGTGGTAAGTAGCGTACGGAAATTTTGCTTATCGTACTGCAACGTATAGAAACGTATCCTAACGTAGCCGTGCGTAGCCCGCAATACTAGACAATTTGGGGGCAATGAAAACTCGCTGGTGACCACTTCCCAGGATGGCTTAAGGCAGCCGCCGTGGGGCATGTATAAACAGGGCTGGGGGATGCTTATGCCCTCGGGGGGCATCGTGGGAGCCGATGGGAAATGCCCTCGGGGCATGTTAAAGGGACGCGGACACAAATCAAACCTGTCGACGATTGGTGGATGTGGGTGTTGAGGATCTCGTGTTCGCCTCCGTCTCGCCCGAGAGGGTAATGGGCCCCTGGAGAACTGGAAAAGATGCAATTTTTTCGGTCTGGAAAGGGTGCAGGAAATTTTGGAATGGGAATCGAGGATTAAAGGAACGTAGAAGGCAAGCGGATGGATTGTTGCTTTTCGACCGGAATTCCGACATTTAACAGTGCCAAAATTGAGGAATGTCAAAATTAGGAATGGAATGCTAACATCGCAGAATGTCGAAATCTCAGGATGTCGACATTTTGAAATGCCGATATTGCATAATGCCGAAATTTCAGTATTTCGAAAATTCACAATCCCGACATTTAAGAATGCCGACATTTCAAAATGTCGTCTTTTGCCAGGAACAAACAGCTCGGAAAAATCCCCAAGCGACCTGCGAACAAAAGATAGTTTGAAATTTCGACATTATGATACGAATTCTGCATTATGAAATTCGACTAAAATTAAGCGTTTAAGCGTTAGTCTATAGAAATCTGTAATAATCAAATATGGCATCCAGCATTTTTTAGAAGCGACAGAGACAGAGCGAGAGAGCGAGAGAGAGATAGAGAGAGAGAGAGAGAGAGAGAGAGAGAGAGAGAGAGAGATAGAGAGCCGGCGGCGCAAAATTATAATAGAGCAATCAGAAGGGTTCGAGAATTCTTTGAATAGATGCCAATGGGAGCGACTAATCATGGAACGTCTTTTCTAGATACTAGAGATGTTACGAATACGAATACGACATGGGAGTTACGCGTCGTATTCGAATAGGCCGTCGGAATCAAAGATTTCTTATTTCCGACCCGATCATCGTATTCGAATTAGGGTCGGAACCAAGCGAATGCGACGTTCGTATTCGTTTAAACGGGTCACATCGGGATAATAAGCTAATTGGAATGCAAAGCAATATTACGAAGAAAACGGTCGGAAAATGGAAACAAGTAGTCAGAATATGCATAATTTGAATAGATTTAGGCCAATTTCTCGGTCATTTCCGGTGGATGTGTCAATATTTTGATATTTGCATAGCATTTCGTCTTCAATTTGAAATTAGCTTTTTATCCCGACGTGAAGCCGACTTGCCAGATCACCACGTCGGAATCAGCCGAGGCTTGTTCGAATACGATCGTCGTATTCGAATTACCGGCATTCTATCTCAAATCAGATATGCATATCGGGCTAATCTGCCGGAAGTAGCACATCGTATTCGTATGCGTAACATCTCTACTAGATACCCCTTTATTTGGGTTCCTTCGTACTCCAATAATCTTAAATGACCTCTGCTGACGGCGAAGGGCCGATACTCGGAAGTCAAGTAGGAGCCAGGGGGCTATTATATTTGGACGAGATTGATACATGGGAGAGAGAGAGAGAGAGAGAGAGAGAGAGAGCGAGAGTGAGAGTGGATTGAGAGAGACAAGCAGAGGCCTAAAATCAAAAGCTTTGCGCAAAAATACCCCGGATTAAATGGATGACGACTAAGGCGCTGGGGTACAGGGATTAGACGACAATTTTAAAATACGCAAGTGAAATCTTGCAAAATTTTTTGAGACCAGTTGAATTGAAAGTATTTGCTTGGCGAGGTCTTTAAAAGTGGACCGGAAGTGAGGGGCGGGAAAACAAATTAGGCCTTGAGGGACGAGAATATTAAAAATAGATTTAATCGATTTAGAAAAACTTAGGTTGAAGTGCTGCTCGTGACTCTTCAACCCCTGGCTCTGTGTGATCCCACAGATATTCTTCACTTTGCATAATCCCCACGATTTTCGACCACAAAAATGAGAAACGCTACTTCTCTTCCCTTATATAGGCTACCGCAACTTCCGGCGTATTCTAATTCGTTTCCTAACAAAGAGGTTGGCCGATTTTTCAACAAAACTTAATTTTTAACGTCGAATACATATATAATTTTTCAAAATTTTATTAGCGTGCAGTCATCCCCTGAGCATTACGCACATAATGACGTATCAAATATTGCCCTTAACTTCTCCCCTATTAAGATACTACTGGAACAACCTGACGGAAGTTGCATGCAAATGCACACACACACACACAGACACTACTTTTTTATATATAGTAGGATTCGATATCCTTTTGATTTATAAATTTTTTGAAACAAATAATATATAAAAAAGCGTGTTTTGAAGACATTCTGGGGAGGAGAATATTTGGGGTGAGGCTTGGCGGAATATGGGCTTGAGGATGAGGATGAAGATGACAAATGCTTGGCTCCCTATTCCGAGACACGCCTATGGGCAGAGATCTATGGCCGGAAATTGGGGTGCGCTACACAGCAAAGATTGTACTATTTTCGCGGTATCACGCACTAATGTTAGGTTGGCAGAGGGGATTTGGGAAAGAAAACGCGCCTTGAGTACCCATTTCAAACCCTCTAAACCTATGGCTGAGCAAGAGCACGAGCTTGCAGAGATTCGAAGGCCTGAGCCCGAGGTTTGTGTTTGAGCTTTGTTGGTATTAGGCGTAAGCTTCTTCATGCTCCGGAAAAAGCTCACGCTCATTTTAGCCTGCGCTTGGACTCAGGTAACGGCTCAGTCTTAAGCTTCGTTAAACATACACTTAGGCTCGGGTCCAGGCCCTTTCTGGGTCGCATGCTTTGGTAGAGGCTCAAGTTCAGGCTCGTGCTCAGGTTTATGCTCAGGTCCAGGCTCAAGCTGTGAGGCAAGCTTAGATATAATCTCAGGCCCAGTCTCAAGCTCAGTCTCAGGCTTAGACCTCAGTCTAAGTTTAGCCGAAGAGTACACCCTCAAAAATGGCGGGTCCGGAAGTGCGTAGAGATGGGTGGGTGGGCGAATGGGTGAGTGGGCGAGGAGGGAAAGGAGGTGCAGAGGAAATTGAGGAATTGCAGGGGGGAATCTTCGAATCGGGCCGTCTTTCGGCACGGCTGGTTAGTAGCCCGGGGGCTCAATCCACTCGACGAGATTGTTTGTTGTGAAGGGAAAGGAGGATGAGGATGAGGAGGAGGATGAGGGGTAGAGGATGGATAGATTGAGCTCAGGCATAGAGGCCATTTATTTGGGGTTGTAGGTATGGAAATTCCGCGGCGATACTTTGGCTCAAAGTAGGCTTAAGCTTCGGCTTAGGCTTAGGCTTAGCTTAGACTTAGGCTTAGAATTTAGCTTAGGCTTAGGCTTCCGCTAAGGCTTAGACTTAGCTTAGGCTTAGCTTAGGCTTAGCTTAGGCTAAGCTTAGGCTTAGCTTAGGCTTAGCTTAATCTTGGCTTAGACTTAGCTTAGGCTAAGGCTTATGCGTGACTATAGAATATGTTTGCTTTGAAAGGAACACATGGCTTCGCATAGACCCACCCACCCGTCACCCCCTCCACGTCCATGGCCCCCAATCTGTCCCCTGGGGATCGGCACTCCATATCTGCCACCTTCTCGGCTTCTCCTCCCCCTAGCACATACCCTTGGGGAAAGATTGGTGGTGGGGGACGTGGAGATAAAGATAAAGCGGTTGGATTAAAGGGATCAATCAGGCAGGGGAATTCTTGCTTTCCGGCTCTGGTTCCTTAGCGGGGGAGTTAAGCAAATACCGATCGATTTTATATTTTTTATTCACCAAAACAGGGCGACCCAAAAGCGATGATACAAATGATGTGTGGGTTGTCTTGAGACTTTGATTGGTGATGATCAGTTGGCGGTGGGGGTGAAGAAGTATCTGGAGTTGTTCACTGCTTCGCCTCGTCGGCGTACGGGTCGTCGAGACGTTGGTAGGCGGACATGTGGGCCGCGTCTTGGACGACGATCTGAAGAAGTGAGAGCGTGAGAGCGAGAGAGCGAGAGCGAGAGAGAGAGAGAGAGCGAGAGAGAGAGCCATAAATGGCTCAACCCACATCATATTCCACCTCATCAGCCGGTCCTTCAGTCAACGTGACGAGGTGGCCGAGGAACGAGTGGAAGAACGGCTCGACGAGCCCGACAAGTCCAGCGGCACCGAGCACGAACTAAAATTTTACTGTGTACTGGGTTGTTAGCGGTGGGGGAGTTTTTCTGAGGCTGTAGCAAGCCAGCAGAGACGATTTGAGCTACCCACCATGGCGCTGCACCACGCTCCCGGGTATTCAGGGATGGCGTTGGCACCGCGGAGTCGCCAGTTCTCCTGCCACATACTCCGATGACCGAACAGAGAGGCACACGCGGCCCATTGCAGCGTCACGCGCAGCACGCACACACCAAGGTGGAAGCCCTGGAAAAGGGAGAAAAATGTGGATTCTGAAGATTCTCCACGACCAGCCCAACGATAGCAATGAGTTCAGTCGTACCCGCTTCACTTTGCCGTCCTTCATCTCGGCATAGACGATGGTGAGGAAGAGCAGCAGCGCGTCGCCGACCTCGATCAGGGCGGCCGAGCGGACCGGCTAAAAGTAGAGGTTTAGAACCTGGTTTGCTTTGGGTTTCGAGTTATAGTGAAGGTCCTCGCCCACTCGATTTTCCAAAAAGCGGATAAGCTACCGACCAACGTGGCCGAGGCGAGCACCGTGTCACTGACGCCCAGCATGTCGTCGGCGGCCAGCTAAACACGATTTTTCAGCGGCTACATTAACTGGAGCATACCGGAATCTGGCGCTTCAGGTCGACGGGCAACGCGTGGGTATGCTTCGTCTCGGGGTCGGTAAGCGAGATGCCAACCAACGCCTTAAAGACGCTCACCCGCTCGGCCGAGGGACCGGCCCGTTCCTGAGACAAAATTCCCAGGTTTTGCAAAAATCCAAGCCAGATTTCATCTAATCGAGTGGTCCCAGCACTGAAATTTTGCTTGAAAACTGTTTCGAGAAGAAACTTTTCCAAAAAAGACCACACCACATGAAGATGATTATCATCGCGCAGCGGCACGTTGAGGTGCTCGACACCGAGCAGTACGTAGACCAGGGTGACGGCGGTGAGCAGCTGCAGGCAGCGCACCAGGAAATGGACGCGGACTGAAACGGATCGAGTAGTCTAGGTTTTAACTCGGTTTGGGCTTAGCTTAGGCTTAGTTTAGGCGTAGCTTAGGATCAGCTTAGGCTTATCTCAGGCTTAGCTTCGGCTTAGCTTAGGTTTAGCCAAGGCTCAAGCTTAGTTTAGACCTTAGCTTCATCAAATCCTTCCAGCCATTAATTAATCCGAGCTGTGAAAATTCCCTAGTAATGAGCTGTGTCAGTTGGATGCGCCAAGACTCTGAAGACGTTCAGCTCGAGCTCAAAGCGGCACCCCGATTTTATGAAATTTGCATAATTAGGATGATTTTCACCCACGGTGCATTGCTCCCGGGGAGGTCGGAAGGGTACAGCACTGGAAATGATCATATTTTCCCGAATTTCGCCAAAATTCGATTGTTTCCGGGGGATTCCAACTTCCGGGATGCAAATTGGGGAGCGGTGCCCCCCGGAAAATTACCAATTTGGAGCGTTGGAAGAGAGCGAGAGTGAGAGAGAGTGAACCAAATTCCGCTGTCGCCATCCCTTTAAAGTGATCGAACAAGATTAAATCTTTATTGGCAATCTTCATTTTCTAAAATCTATTCCGCGTCGTCGACACGTTTCTGGAAGCCGTTGAAACGGGCCATCGGCGGCCGGAAGCTGTCGCCGAACGGGAATCGCGCCTATAAGTGGAATCCTTGATCTGCTTGCTTTCCAAATTTTACGTCACGGTATCGGGGAGGATGAAAGATAATTTTGTTCGCTTGGCACCATCCCTTTAAAATGTACCCACATTCCATTGCGTAATGCGGCGGCCGCCGCGCCATCCGGGGCCCGGCTTGCGAGCGTATGAAGAGGCCGTCTAAAATGTATTAGGCTTGGGTTTTGGGCTTGGCTTAGGAGAGGCTTAGGTTTGCGCCTCGCTTAGGCTTGGCTTAACTTTAGCTACAAAGCACACACCTGTGATACTCCTCGACCCAGCCCGCATTGATGGAATCCGAGCAGGGAGCTTGAGCACGGCCATCCGGATGAGAACTGGAAACATAGGTTACGCTTGTTAGGCTTGGGCTGATGCTCGGCTTAGGCTTTGCTTAGGGCTGGCTTTGACTTAGACTTCGAGAGAGAGAGAGAGAGAGAGCGAGAGAGAAAGAGCGACTGAGACGAGTCAAGCCCTCAAAAGTACCGTACCCTGGCGACCCGATCCCCTCGCGCATCCACACCCAAGATGACCAGAGCGCAAAGCACGACAAGTTTTTTCAGCTGCATTGGTAGGAATTTGTGTGCGTGATTGTTGGGGGCCAAATCTGGGGGTTTTGCTTGGAGGGCAGGAGGTGGTCCCGCGATGAATTAGCGTGAAGTGGGCGGAAAGATGCGGATTCTGCCATTGGGGGGGCAGGTGACATCAACAGATTTTGGAATTGGCGGATCTGGTGGTTTCAACGACTGGAAGATGGCAATGCAGCGGAGATAACTTGGGAATTCTTGAAATTTCGAACCCGTTGAGCCATGAAACTTCAAATCGGCGTTTTGAGTGAATTTGTTACAATTAAGGGCTGCAACATTACGACCTTGTGATAGAAGACTTTATATAGTACGATCGTTTAGGTACAGCATACAGTGCAGTACACCATGCGAATAAGCTAAGCCTAAGCGAACCCTAAGCTCAGCCGACGCCTAAACTCAAGCTCAAGCTGAAGTCCAAACCGAAGTCAAAACCTAAGCCTACGCTCAACCCAAGCCCGGTACAATTTTCCGTATTACGCTAATACACATAGAACTGTAGTACGCAATGGTACGACATCTGACAAGCCGCTATGATACGGTAAGATCCAACGGATCACAGTGCTTCGTCGTATATGAAGAGTTTTGGCGGTCCGCAAGGATTTTTTTTTATTATTTTAGAACGATTTTTTACGATTCAGATATGTATCGATAGCTCTCGACGAGGCGAGGGACCTGCTCTTGTCGAGTTTTTTAAGTTTAACGTTTTTTCTGGCTTTCTTGGCATGTTTCATACATTTTCAAGCTTCTTTCGAAGCCTCACTCAACTGTTTTAGACCCGACCCACCTCGTGTTTTCACAACTCGGTTTTATGAAGTTTTATACAGACGAAGAAAAGGCATTTAAAATCCCTCAAAACCTTATCCGCGATTTATCTGAAAGTTCAAGCCCCGGCCCCAATACCGCGCGCCAACCACCGTACCCCTCTAGGTTGGGCATTGGCAGAGGGGCGAATGGCAGGGGTAGGCAGGGGAGAGAGCACAGGAAAGGGATAGACGCAGACAGAGACACTGGTTGCCCTGAATGTGTTTGCTTCTTCTTCTTCTTCCAGCCCGCCAATCAACCCAGCCAGCATAGCCAAGAAAAAACCCGAGACAAAAGAGAGAGAAGGAGAAAGAGAGAGACATCACTCTCAACGTCTCTACACTCTCCCCCATCCCCACTATCTTTTATGCCCCGGCCCTGGGTGGGGATAGACTACTAGCTGAACTCGACCCGCCAAAAAACATCCGCTCAATCTAGCGCTGCGATCAGCTACTTTTTACTTGTTCTCTACAATTTTATTGATTTTCGAGAACTTGAAGACGTTCAGGAACGCGAAGAACAACTACTTTTTACAAAAATGGAGCAACATCCGGGGATGAACTTTCAGAATCAGGTTTGGAGAACTTTTCATTGGATTTGAGTAATTTCTGTGGACAGATTGATCTTTTTTTCTGCTCTAAAATTTTCGTATTTGTTATCTTTTACGTATAAAGTTTTGGGTAATTTACATGTTTTCTTAAAAGCCTGTTTCTATTTCTAGACGCGGTAAATTAAGTCATTTTTTATTTCAAAGTCGATTGTTGCAAGTAATATCCTTTCAACAGTTTTTATGGTTTGTTTTGAGGATTTTCTGGATTTTGCGAACAAACTGCTTAAAACGTTAACTTCAAACAGTTAGGATTGTCAATTACCAGTACAATTCATTTTTATTTAATGATTTATAATACGCTAAATTATGGTTTAAATCAACCCGATAAGTGAAATCAATCTATAAGATTTGTTTATTTTGCAAAAAATCTTCTTCAGGGCGGCGGACCAATGCGCCAAGTTCGTCCTGGGCTACGACTTGATCAACTCGGCGACCGCCCGATGCCGCTTCATCATGAGGTTAGTCGTAAAAACATTTGATTTCAAGTACGAGTTGCTACTTGGCTTTGCGTAGCGTGATGTAGTGTAACATACGTTAGGAGTAGTACGTAGTGATGCATGGTTACTCGAACCGCGAGGACGTCACGTATTCTAAAGCAGCCTCACGGAATCAAAATTAACGCCAAAATTTTGCCTTTATTGAGCTGCTTGGTTTCGTTCATCAGTTTTAGCCACGCGTATCGTAGCGCTACGACTCGTAGTGGTGCGCAGCCGTGCGTCGCGTTATTTTACTTGATTTTTCGTGGTACGCTTTAGGTAACTTATCAGCTGTGTGTAGAATTGCGTAGCGTAGCTCTCCTGAGGTTATTTCACTTTCCGTTCCATTTCGCAGCTTTTTTAACGCCACTAAGCGTAGCGTTCCGTCGCTTTGCATTTTGTAGCATCGCGTAACTAATAGCGTTGCGCAGCGTAGCGTTGCGTAGCGTTACGTAGCGTTCCGTAGCGTTAAGTAGGAGCGTTCCGTAGGTTTTCTGTAACATCGCGTAACTTTTAGTGGCGTTGCGTTGCGTAGCTACCTTAAAACTAATACCTAATTTCAACAAACCCCATTTCCAGATGCACGAAGTCGGACAGCGTCCCCGGGTTTCACGAAATCGCACGACCAGCGGTGAGTTTTTCTGGATCCTTTTTTTTTTTTTTTTTTTTCGATCCATTTCTGGGGGTTGTCGCCTCTAATCCATGTCATCCTTCGCTTTTTATTTCTCATCATCATCCGAAAAGAGCAGAATTCAGGGTCTTGAATGATTGATCATCTCCTGACCTACAGGCCATGGACCAACCCCTATGATCCAAAACATCAAAGAAAAGTTGGTAAGGTTTTCCTGAGGCCTCAAAGATTATGCATTTTAAAGGGACCTGGACAGTAGAGAGTCGCAGCAGCAATCTCATTAATTTTCGGCGCTTTTGCATTATCGGGAGGACGCGTCAGGGAAGAATACAAGCTTTTTCCTAGTATAAAATATTTCTAATATCAATAGAGGAAGTGTTGCCAACCTGTAGAAACTTTAGAACTTGACAGTGTTCAAGACACTAAAAAATGGATCTTTCGCCCAAAAATTTCCGATTTTTACCAAATTTCTAATTTTAAAAGCTTTTGAAAGTTGGTGGCTAATTTAATAATGCAACATGCCTACATTTTACGGTTTTATGTGCCAAAAGACAAAAAATGCAAATACAAATTTGAGAAACCATTGAAAATTTTGTTAGAGAAACTTTGATTTTTTAGAAATTTTACTAAAAACACTTTTAAACTACCTTTATCACATGGGCATTTTTGGACATACAAAAATTCGATCTTTCCTCCAGAGAAACGTCCTCCCCGATAAATGCAAAAGCACCGCTACACTACGTCACGATACCTCAGGCGCTATAATACTTCTCCCCCTTTGAGCACTCAATTTCCCAA